TCTCTCGGTTCCCTCAGCCTGTCTAGCACCTGCACCTTCGCTTGCTGGATCCCAATCTGCCCCCCTGTAACCTCGTACCCCAGGTACTGCACCGTCTGCTCCCCCCACCTGCACTTGTTAGGGTGACACGTGATCCCTGCCTCTTCTATGGCCGTCAGTGTCCTTTCCACGTCCTCCAGGTGCTGCTGCTCGGTCACGCTAAAGATCACGACATCGTCGATATAGCACGCTGCGTGCTCTATCCCCCACAACACCGCGTCCATGACTCGCTGGAACACCGCCGAGGCGTTCCTCAGACCAAAGGGCATGTACAGCCAGTCGTACAGCCCGTCCGGTCCGTGGAAGGCCGTTTTCTTCACATCTTCTTCTCTGATCTTGATTTGATTGAATCCCTGGCGCAGGTCCAGCGTCGTGAAGTACACCCCGTTGGCCAGCTTGTCAAAGAGCTCTTCCGCCATTGGCATTGGGTACCTGTCCGGCACTGTGATCTTGTTAAGATCTCTGTAATCCCCGCACATCCTCCGGCTCAGCACCTCGCCTGTCAAATCCTTCCTGGCTGCCACCACGGTCGGGGTAGCGTACTCAGACTCTGATCTCCTAATCAGTCCGGCTTCCAGTAACTCCTTTATTTTCTCCCTGCAGATCGCCTCGTCCTCTGGTGGCATCTTCCTCCTGCGGTGGAACACCGGCTCATCACTGCTCAGCTTCAGTGCCATCTCGTTGATCTTGCATTTCCCCAACTCCTGCAGGGTGAAAGCGAAGCCCTTCCTGTGCTTAACCAACAGTGCCCGCATTGCGGCCTTCCCTCCCTCACTCATACTCTCACCTATCTTCCACTCAGGCTCTTCTTTTGGCAGGCAAGCCCACATCCCCTGTCTAACTATCGCTACTGTGCTCTCTCCCTCCTTCAATCCCCAATGCAACACGGTCTCTTTCCACATTCGCTGCACCAGCCACCTCATCATGTGCCCATCCATGGCGTTCCCCATTGCCCGCCTCCTCTCTCTCTCGCTCACGCCAGGGGCTGCTGTGGCGTTCTCCTTATACCCCATGGCCAGCTCCCTCTCCAAGGCTGTGGGCTCTTCCCACCGTCCCTTCCTATGGTCATACACCAATCCTGGGCCCGGCTGCTCCCCATCCATCCGATATCCTGCTGCCCCTTCGTACGACACCAGGGTGGGTAATGCTTGTCTCTCTTGCCCCACCTGGTTGCACGGATATTGTCTGCTGTAGCTCTTTTTGTTCACAGGTGATGGCGTTCTTCCTGGTTCCAGTATATCGCTCACTTTCCGCCCCCCTTCTCTCTGTACCCCTTCTATCTCCTTCTGCAGCTCTTCCGCTGGCACCATGTTCTGCCAATACATCCTGAGCCGATGGGTGTATGCTCCCATCCGCGCCGCGTCACTGCTCACCCCCTTGCCCACCTGCTGGGTCACTCTTTCTTTCACCAGTCTCACTGGTTCTCGCACATCCCCACTCATGTCCAGGTGCTCTAGCAGGTATGCCAACCTGCCCTGCATAGCCTGCACCCATTCCATAATCCTGAACAGATTCTCCATCAGCTGCGTCCTCGGGTCTTGCTCACCCTTGCCCTTCCCTGCCCATGATACCCCTTGGCACTCCCACCCAGCCACCAGCAGGTCCACACGTCCCCAGCTCGCCACTTCAGCTTCCGTGATCGTCCTTACGTCGTGCACTCCTCGGCTCATGGCTGCCCTGACCACTTCCTCCTTCAGCAGTTCTGGAAATTCCTTGTGCAGCTCCCACGCATGATGTTCCGCTATTTTTCTCACTTCTGGTGCCTTCTCCACATAGATCCATTGCTTCACGGCGATTCCGTTCCACACCACCGCTGCCAGTCCCGCCCCTATTCCCCCGAACAGCTCCACCAGCCGAATGGGTTGTTGCCAACCTGTCTGTTGGCTTGGTTCATCCATGAAGTGCATCCTAGGCTCCCCACTCCTTCTTCTGCCTGTTGCTTTCTCCGGTGCCCCCTGTTCCGCTGCCCCCTCCTTCAGATCTGCCCTATAAGCCCTTTTTGGCTCTGTCCTGACAAATTGCACCGGCAGCTGTCCTAGCGGCTCGCCCTTCCTCCACCACCTGGTCCGAAACTCCACTGTCTCCTTCCAGAAGCAGATGGTCATGCCCAAAGCGAAGATTATCTCTGTGCCCACCAGGACGTCAAAATCCTCCGACTCCGAAATCCCACACCTGATCCTGACCGGCGTTTCATGCTTCTCCCCCTTCAGCACTGTCAGCTCTATCGGCGTCCTGGTGCAGGGCATCCACTTTGATTCCCCCCCTTCTGCGGTCATCACTAGCATCCCCTTCACTACGTGTCTGTCTGGTGCCCACAGTCCCAGCTTCTCTGCCATCCCCTTCCCGAGTATTACGCTCTGTGCCCCCGTATCTATAATCGCCGTCTTAGCCTTTTCTCCTTCCACTGATAATGTGCTGCCTTGGATCAGCAGCACGGAGGTCCGACACGCCAACCTCTCTTGTGGGTGCCGCGCAGCGGAGCACCTTTCTTCATTCTCCTCTGGTTTCTGTCCTCTCTCTCGCTCCTTCCTCACCTGTCCCTTCCGTGCGTCCTTTCCTCCACTGCGCAGCCCCATCTCTTCCCTTCCTCTCCATGCCATATAAGCTGGCTGCTCCTCATGCTCCATCTCCTCCTCTCCTCTTCCCGGCCAGACCATGAACGCGGCCTCCTCATCCTGCTCCACATCTTCCTCCTCCTCTTCCTTGGCGTACATCCCTGCCTCTGCTTCCCGTCGTGGTCCCATTGCCTGCAGCTGAGCTTGCAACCTGCTGATCTGCTTCTCCAGTTCCTCTGGCGTTTTCTTCGCTGCTCCCTCCCGCTGATAGCACTCCTTTGCTGCATGCCCTCCCTTCCCACAGATTTCACACTTTGGTGCCGTCGGACATTCTCGCCGCCGGTGCCCTGGCTTGCCGCAGGAGTCACAGTTCTTGCAGTCTCTGCGTAAGTGCCCTGGCTGCCCGCATCGGTGGCACGTCCGCGTGTCAGGCCTGCTGTCCCCTATTCCCACTGCCCTATCCTTCTCTTCTGGTATCATGGCTGCGGCCCATGTAGGTCCTCTGCCTTGCTCCGCCGGACGTTGCCGATATGCCTCATACTTCCTCTAGGAGGGGGGGGGGGGGGAGGGGCAGTGCGGTAGGGAAAGAGACGGTAAAAGGGGACTGACTCGTCAAAGGTGACGTCCTGAGATGCAAAGACACGGCGCGAGGCGGGCTCGTAAAACTGCCAGCCAGGCGCGTCAGGAGGAAAACCAAGGAAGACGCAGGGAATGGCGAGAGCGAAGAGCTTGTCTGCGGTGGTATCGCGGACAAAGGCACGAGCACCTCAGACCCGGAATCGCGACGCATCGCCAACCTCCCCCGTCCACAGCAGTGTGGGCGAGGTCTCCGGCAAGGAGACATGGGGCCAGAGGTTGAGCTGATGCGCAGCGTACCGGACCGCAAACGGCCACAGAAAATGGGGAGTCGCCGCATGGATCATGGAGGTACGAGCGACCTCCATGACTAAGCCAATGCGGCACTCAGCAACCCCAACCTGCTGCGGAGAGGCCGGAAGTGTGAACGACTGGCGGATGACGTGCTCCTCAAAGAAGGCTCGCAAGAGGTCGAAGGTGAACTCACCACCTCTGTCAGAGTGCAGACGCAGGACTGGAAAGTCCGACTCGAACCGCTCGCGGAGCTGGAGACAAACAGCGCGGATCCAAGGGATCAGAACAGCAGGGACATCCGCCTTGCGCTGCAAGGGGAAGACTGTGGTGTAACGCGTGTAGTCGTCGACAACCAGCAGGAAGTACCGCTCGCGGCCGTGCCCCTGGACGCGGGCTGGGCCCCACACGTCCAGGTGGAGAGTCTGCAGCGGAGCCTCTGTGGGAGGGAACGAGGAGGAGTGAGGAGCGGCGCGTTGCCGCCCCTCGACGCAAGGAATGCAGGGCGGCGCAGGCGAGGGAGGGAGGGCAGGCAGAGACCTGGGAAGACCAGAAACCAGGGAGCGAGAGTGCATGCCACGAAGGCGGGGCAGGGAGGGGTGACCAAGGCGGTGGTGCCACAGGAGAGTGTCGTGGGACAGGCGGCGACACTCACACTGGGTAGCTACTTGAGCAGAGGTGTACAGCTGATTAGACAAAGGGGTGTAGCGCGACACAGTGGTGAGGGTGTACAGACTGGAGCTAGGCTCACTTGTGAACATGGCCAGGTGACGGCCGGTCTGGGAGCACGTGCAGATCGCCACACGCTGTCCTCCAATAGTAAAGGTGTCAACCCAATGATCCTGAAGGACGGCGTTGCTCACCAGGTTCGTAGAGAACGAGGGGATGTGGAGACCTGACAGCTCACCAGACGGGACCGCCGGGCACGGAAGCACAGTAGTGGACTGTGCTAGCACTGGGCCCCTAGAGGGGTCAGCCAGTGAGACAGGGACAGGTGCAGGGAGGGGAGTGACTGTGGTGCTGTCGCGAAAGAAACAGCGGGAAGCACCAGAGTCAAGTGTAAAGGTGTGCAAGGCCTGAGCCGACGCAGTACCAGGGGGAGCAGACTCACTAGCACCTAGGGCTGCAGCCTCTATACCTGGATCAGGCGGCATACACAAGTAGCAGTCACCCTCAGCACTAACAGTCAATGCATACATGGCAGCAAGAATAGCATCATAGTCAAGATCAAAGATAGGAACATCACGCCTAAGCAGATCTGCCCAGTTGGGGAACTCAGTAGCCTCAGGAAACTTGGCGCGCCAGGCGTCGCTAAGCCGAGCGAAGCAGCGGTACTCAGTGTGAAAGCCGTTGCATGTGCGACCAGCGCGGGGACTTGCGCGAATGACATAGGGGCAGCGACCAGGACCCCCAGACGCCCCACGCCCGGCATACCAGTCATGAAGCTGCTGAGAAGTGGGGGTCTGGCGCTGGCGCTGCTGCTGCTGCGGCTGCTGCTGTTGCTGCTGGGAACTGTTGTGGCTGCTGCTGCTGCTGTCCCTAGCCACCATCAGGGCCCCCTCCACCGCCTCCACCACCACCGCCTCCACCACCGCTCCCTCCTCCCCCACTACCGCCGCTGCCACCGCCACTGCTCCCGGTACCACCACCACTCCACCCACCACCTCCACCCCCACGACCACCCCCACCACCTCCACCTCCACCGCCGCCCCCACCACCGCCTCCTCCACCGCCACTTCCACCACCCCTGCCGCCCTTGCCGCCCCTGGTGTTGCGACGCTTCCCACTAGGAGCGGAAGCAGCTGCTACCTGCTCAGCGCCAAGGAAATCGACGGCAGCAGCAGCAGAGGCGTAGGAGGGGGCAAGAGGGGAGGGGGAGCACCCCTCAAAGAGGGGAGTCCGTGGAGTGCCACGAGCAGTCCTACAGCTAGAATACTCTTTTCTGAGTCTAGGAGCTCCTGCTCGAAGTCGTCGACTGTAAGAGTGGTGGGATCTTTGGCGAGGAAGTGGTCCGTGACTGAGCTGAGAGTGTCAGGGAGGCGGGTGACGAGGAAGTAGAGCGTAAAGTACATCGGAGGGGAATTCTTGGCAAGGAAATCGGTTGTAAGAGCGGCACGACAGCGAACGTCACTAGCGCGAAGGTGAGAGATGAGGTCCTCAGCAGTGTGAAACGAGGACAGGTCAGGGAACAGGTAGGGCAGGATGAGGCGACCTATGGCTGCAGTGGCTGGGGAAGAGTAGCGGGCAACTACAGCGTCGTACAGTGCCTTAGCAGTCTTGTGCTGACTAAAATGCGCGCGCTCAGTGATCGGCTTGTGGTTGCGAATAGCGAGGCGCGTAGCAGCATCACGAGTCTGCCACTGTGAGCGGTCAAGAGTGGCAGCAGTGCCAGCAGGAGCAACGGAAGTGCCAGACGCGTGATCGAACAGTGAAACGCCGTCTTTGGCATCAGTCATAAGAAACAGTTGCAGGTCGTCGAGCCAAGTGGCAAACTCTATCGGGCGACCGTCAGGCTCAAACGCGAGAACATTGAACGTCGCCATAGTCGTAGCGCAGGCAAAGGCCGCAAGCAAAGGCCGCAGGCAAAGGCAGCAGGCGAGGACAGCAGGCTAAGACAGCAGGTAAAGCGATTCTGTGCGCAGGGCCGGAGAGGAAACGCGCAAGCGGCAAGGACGGCGTGCAAAGCAGCAGCGGGCCGCGTGTAAGCTGCAGAGGCGCGGCGCGAGCAGTTAGGGCGGCGCGCGGGGCTGCAGCAGACCGCGCGCGGGCGGCGGAGGCTCGGGGCAAGCAGCGCGGGCAATGCGCGGGGCAGTGGCGGGCCACGTACGGGCTGCGGAGGCTCGGTGCGGGCAGCGCAGGTGGTCCGCGGGGCAGTGGCGGGCCGCGCAAGCAGTGCGGGCGGTGCGCGGGGCAGCAGCGGGCCGCGCGCGAGCTGCCGAGGCTGCGCGCGAGCAGCGCGGGTGGTGCGCGGGGCAGCTGCGGGCCGCGCGCGGGCTGCGCGGGCTCGGCGCGGGCTGCGCGGGCAGTGCGCGGGGCAGCAGCGAGCGGCGCGCGGGCTGCCGAGGCGCGGCTCGAGCAGCGAGGGCGACGCGCGGGGCAAAAAACGGGCAGCGCACGCGGGGCTTAGGTCTGCGCGCAAAGCAGCAGCAGACAACGCAGGCAGCAGACAGCAGGCAGCAGGAAAACGGCGCGCGCAGCGCAGCACGTCACAGTCACCGTCACTGTCGTGGGGTAGCGGTAGGTGTGCCCGAAAGAAAAGGACGGTCCTACGGACCTACTGCTCTGAAACCATGTTAGAAACTAGAGACAGGAGTGAATTGACTAGATCAGGGTTTGGTACAAATATGAAACCCTAATGGGGTTGTACCCCATATTGGCTACCCCACTACAGCCTAAACATATATAACATACATATAATTTGACAGGTCAATTTTGTCGTGTTGGAACGCGGTCGGCCGTGCTGCGCTGGCAGTCGACCTGCTTGCATGCTAGCTCTGATGTAATCAGCTTTGCTTTGCCATTGTCAACCATTGTTGTGAACTTTTGCAAGTGAAACTTTTGACAAAAATCCTCCGTGAATGTGCACGTAGTGTGAACACAAGCAAACAACTAAGGAACGAATGCTACTATCACTCCTACCCCATGCCTACCCCGTAGTCAAGCTCCCGTTGTAGTAGTTATCTCCGCAGATCTCAAGATCACCACATAGTCCGAATACAAACAAACGGCCACAAGGCCAGTCCACATGCACGGTTATAGTAGCACAAGCAGTACAGTGATGACAACCTAGCAAGAGTAAACATGCAGGTATATATATACATGCATATACACATACACATACATACACACACATACACATACACACACACACACACACACACACACACACACACACACACACACACACACATACACATACACACACACACACATCCTAAACCCTCAACCTTGCATCACACTACAAGGCAAAGTCAAAAGGTAAGCAACTGAGTCAGAATAGGCAGAAGGCCTAGAGCAGTGCAGAAACGCTGATGATCACCAGACCCAAGGGCCTTGGTGAAGATATCAGCAGTGTTGGCCTATGAGGTTACGTAAGCAAGGCGAAGCTAGCCATGCTGCTGTAACACTCTTGCGAGAAAGTAACGAAAGGCAATGTGCTTCGTTCTGTGCTCCAGTCTTTGCTCCCGAAACCAGGCAATCAAGGCCTCATTGTCGCCGTACAGAACCGGAGGAGAACGTGGCTGCTCACCCAAGTCAGTCAGCAAAGAGGTCAGCCAGCGTAGCTCCTGGGCAGCCATGGCTAGCCTCAGCGGCAACTGTTGCCATACAGTTTTAACTGACACTAGCGGGGCGACGGAGCTAGCGGGGCCAGTGGGGCCAGCGGGGCAAGACGGGCCTACGGGTTCAGAGGGAGCCACGAGGTGCAAGAGACTCGCGGGTGCAAGGGCGCTAAGGGGCATGAGGTAGGTACCTACGGTAGCCTAAGAGCTAGGTACATGATAGGTGGGGCGAGCGAAAGCGAGGATCTACGGTAACCTAGCGTGGTACCAGGTGAGAATGATAACGATGACTAGAATAATCATGCCAGGAAGTATGCAACCCTATACAGCACAATCCTAGCTAGCCTAACAATTGTACACCCACCGGTAGAAATACACGACTGTACTGTACTTTGAAAAGGATTACAGTATATGGCACTTCCTCCAAAAGAAACAAGCAAGCAAACACAGGCAAGCACTTCCATGCCACACGCCCCCTTTTGCCCAGAGCAGTAATTTCCTAGCCTCGTTCATCTCTCCGCATTCTGGTTACATTCTGGCTAGATCGCTGAGCCTTCTGGTGCTCCAGCTTGGGGCACTTGCTGATGCGATGACCCAGGTCCCCACAGAACGCGCACCTGCGCACGCCACACACCTTCCCCTACTACCCTCCCCCTTGAAGCCCTGCCACGTCCCTGCCACACCCCTGCCAGACCCGAGCTAAACGCCCGAATTCAGCAGGTCTCAAGGCTGCATTCTGGTTACATTCTGCCACATCTCTCCTCAACGTTCTGGTTACATTTCCTCCCAACAGCCGGGTTACATCTCGCCGCCATACCCCCCGGACCCCAGGTAGTCCTTGTGTGAGCCGGAGATGGCCTGCGTCTTCTGGTGCTCGAGCTTGGGGCACTCGCTGATGCGGTGGCCCAGCCCGCCGCAGAACGCACACCCGCGCACGCCAGACGCGGCGGCCAGCGCCTCGGCGTCGTCCATGGGGTCGTCCAGCGATGCCAGCACCGGAGGGATGCGCTGCTTCGCCTCGCGCAGCAGATGCTTCAGATCCAGCAGGATCGTCTCGCTCTGTGGGCCGGTGGGGGGGACGGGGTGGGGTGTGAGTCCCGCAGATACATACGAGGCATAAGGCATGCAATGCGAGCACGGGGGAGAGCGCTGCTTGGCTTTACGTGACAGGTGCTCCATATCCAGCAGCATGGTTTTGTTGTGTGCCGGGGTGTAGGGGAAGGGGGGGTATGGGAGAGTGAGCAAGATGGTTGCTGCCACACCCAGTGCTACTGCTTGGCCTCCCGCAGCTGCTGCTTCCTGGTCCCTCGCCCTTTCCTCTCCTCTCCCTCTCTCCCCAACTCATGAACCGCCGTCGCGCACGGACCTGGTTCTTGTTGATGAACGTCGTGGCGATGCCAGTCTTGCCGCAGCGCCCCGTGCGGCCGATGCGGTGCACGTAGTTTTCGATCTCAGAGGGCATGTCGTAGTTGACCACGTGTTGGATGTCGGGGAAGTCCAGCCCCTTGGACGCCACGTCCGTCGCCACCAGCACGTCCTTCCTGCCCGCCTTGAACGCGGCGATGGCCGCCTCGCGCTCCTCCTGGTCCTTGCCGCCGTGCACCGCCACGGCCTCCACGCCCTTGAGCAGCAGGTACTCGTGAATGTCGTCCACGTCCGCCTTGTTCTCGCAGAAGATCAGCACCGGGGGCGGCGTCTTTTGGAGGCATTCGAGGAGGTACACGATCTTGGCCTCCTGCTTCACATACTCCACCTCCTGAATCACGTCCAGGTTCGCTGCACCTGCGCGGCCCACGTTGACCATGACGGGCTTGACGAGCGCGCTCTTGGCGAAGGCCTGGATCTTCTTGGGCATGGTGGCGGAGAAGAGCAGCGTCTGGCGCTGCGCCTTGAAGTGGTCAAACACCTCGCGGATGTCGTCCTCAAACCCCAGGTCGATCAGCCGGTCCGCCTCGTCCAGGCAGAGGTACTTGCAGATGTCGAGGTTCATGCGCTTCTTGTTGAGCAGGTCCTTGAGGCGGCCCGGCGTGGCCACCACCATGTGCACGCCGCGCTTCACCACCTCCAGCTGCTGCCGCATGTCAATGCCCCCGATGCACAGCATGCTGCGCAGCTCCGGGTACCTGCACCGCGCCAGGGGGACGTGCGCAGGGCACGGGAAGAAGGTGAGGCAACGGGGAAATGGGAGTGAAGGGGTGGAGTGGAGGGAATGTCAACGCGTCCTCTGGACAGCACGTTGTAAGGCTCGGGGTTTCCGGGGTCTGATGAATGGATGAGAGCAGAGGAGGGTACAGGAGGACAGTGGAGGAAAGGGAGGAAGGGGAGGAATGTGCGGTATGGGGAGGGTGGGAAAAGCTCAACCATATCCGGCTGCGTCCACGGCGCTCCCCTTGCTGCTGCTGGCTCAACTGGCAGTGTATGTCTGCCTGGTCCACCCACGCAGCTCCCTCCTCTCACCTCACCTCTAACGTCCCCTCCCCCTACCAGACTCACCCCGTTCTCATTCACCCTACCCAAAACACTGCTCTCTCCGATCATTGCCCACAGCATCTGTGACCTCATTCAGCATAACATGCATCTGTGGCCTCATTCAGCCTAACATGCATCTGTGACCTCATTCGGCATAACATGCATCTGCCTGGCGACATCTGCGCGCAACTCAACCCACCCTCAACCTTCCCCGCAGTGCAGGCTGCCCAGCACGCGGTCCCCATGGCACTGACCGCTCGCGGCGGTCGTTGCGGAGGGCGTCGGCGAACTCGTTGACGACGTCGTACGTCTGCCGGGCCAGCTCGCGCGACGGGCACACGATGAGCCCCGTGGGGCCCTCCCCCGCCACCAGCGGCATGCGCACCTCCTCCTGTAGGGCCTGATGGCCGTTGGGTTGGGGGCAAGGGTGGACGGGGATGGGTGGGGAGGCGGGAAGGGGAGGTGGGGAGGGAGGGGGGGAAGGGAAGGGTGACATAGTGTTAGCAGGGGGAGGGGAGACAGAAAAGCGCCTCCCAGGCAAAGGGTCCCATGGAGCTCCCTAGAGAGGCACACAGTGGGCCCCGCCCCGCCCCGCCCCGTGGCACCCTCACCCGGCACAAGCAGCATGCGCACCTCCTCCTTCACGGCCTGATGTGCCGAGGGATCCAAGGGAGTGGGCACGGATTGGTGGGGGGAAGCGGAACAAGATTGGTTCATGCTCCCTGCAGGGGCACACGACGAGCCCCGTGAGGGCCTCCCCTCCGGTGCTACAAGTAGCATTCGCACCTCCTCCTGCAAGGCCTGGTGTGCGGCGAGCGAATAAGGGGGAGAGTGCACCTCCCCTGCCAGAGAAGAAAGGGGGGACGGGAGGGGGGGGGGGGAGGAGGGGAGGATGGGGAGGAAGGGGAGGATGGGGAGAGGTAGCATAACAACGCTGGTTGATAATGCGCAGAAGAAGCACAAACACTATGTACCACGGGCAGCTAGAAACACTCACATCATGCAGCAAGAGCAGAGCAGTACTCACATTGAGCACCATGGGCAGCGCAAAGACGAGCGTTTTCCCCGACCCAGTGAAGGCAATGCCGATGATGTCCCTGCCCTCCAACACCGCTGGCATGCCCTGCACCTGCCAAGGGAGATATGACGCGGTGCAGCGGAGTGCAGGACAACACAGAGGGGGTAAGGGTTCCTCCCCTCCAGCACGGCTATGCACCTGCGCAGTGGGTGGTTTACGGCGGCATTTAGAGATATGAAGCGGTACAGAGGGGTGCATGATGAGGCCTCTGTTATCACGTGGCCCTCTCATTCCAGCACACGTGAGCATGCACGCTGGTAGAGAGTGGCCTACAGGGGAATGGAGCGGGTACCTGGCAGTGCAGGAGTTAACCGAAACGGGAGTTCAAGTGCCGGGGATCTCCACTCTCCTGGGGGCACGCTAAGGTCTCTCCACCTCGTTCGACATGGATTGCGTTTTGAAACCCACCTTGTACCCACCTGGATGGATGGGCGTGGGGCGCACCTGGATGGGCGTGGGGCGCACCTGGATGGGCGTGGGGCGCACCTGGATGGGCGTGGGGCGGAGGATGCCTTTCTTCTTGAGCACGCGCAGGCAGGGTTCGGGCAGGCGCATGTCTTTGAAGCTCTTGATGGGCGGCGGCACGTGCTCGCCGTCCACCAGGATGTGCCACGCCTTGCGGATCTCCGCGCGCTCCTCCTCGCTCATCGCGCCGATGTGCCTCGGTGGCTTCCACCCCGTCCACAGAGGCTCCGTGTACTGTCGACACGTGTGGGGCGCCAGGGAGGAGACTTGCGGCGTTTCGGTAAGTTGTAGGGATGGGGATGGATTGATTTTGAGGCTCCAATTCACAATTCCTTCAGCGGCTTCTCGGGGCCCCTGGCGGCCCCACCTGGAGAATCTGCAAAATGTGGGTTCTGGCGAGTTTTCTTCTCCTCGCCCTTCATGGAATGCCCTTATTAAGCCCCTCACACCACGCGAATGCCTGAATCAAGATGCTAACAGCACCTGATGCCACTGCTCGTGTGCGGCCGAGCACCATTCACACGTTAGCCATCTCCTCACGTCACCTCAGTACCCTTGCCCACATCCTGCACCAACCCAACATGCCTATAAAGAGGCTTCCAAGCGCACCCGGAATGCCCGAACCCACAACGAGGGTTGCAGCGAGCCTGAGTGCCCTTGGCGCACCTGAATGCCCTTGGCGCACCTGAATGCCCTTGGCGCACCTGAATGCCCTTGGCGCACCTGAATGCCCTTGGCGCACCTGAATGCCCTTGGCGCACCTGAATGCCCTTGGCGCACCTGAATGCCCTTGGCGCACCTGAATGCCCTTGGCGAGCTCCTTGACGCTCATGAGCGTCTTGCGGTCGCTGAGCCGTTCGAACATCTCCTTCTCCTCCGCCAGCACCTGCTCCGTGTGGCTCAGCTCCGGCACCTCCTTCTTCAGCATCGTCGCCTTCACCAACAGGCTCGGCCGAGCCTCCGGCCCAGCTGCGGCGCCGTCCTCTCCGCCGGCTCCCTCCCCCTCCCCGCCTCCCCCGGTTCCGCCGCCCTTTGCGCCAAGAGCTATACCGCGCGCGGCTGCTCGCGCTGCTAAGAGTCGCTGTTGCTCCATAAGGCGTCGCTTCTTAACAGGGATGTACTCCTCGTAATCATCCTCTTCCTCATCCGCGCCTCTCCCTTCCTCTTCCGCCTTTCCGTCCCCGTCCCTCCCGCGGTTCCCGCCGCTGTCGGCGGCGCGATAGTAGCGCCTCTTTCCGCCTCCCGCGCCGCCATCGCTCCCGCCCTCTTCACTCTGCGTCCGCCCGGTGCTTCCCCCGCCAAGACCCTCTCGTCCGACTCCTCTCGTAACTTCCCCTTCCCGTTCCTCCCCTCTCGCCGTGTCTCGTTCCTGCGGTTGGCCGTCATCCGCCTCGTCGCCCTCGTAGATCGTCTCCAGCGCCTTCATCGCCGCCCAGCACCACCAGCGCCGTGTATGACGAGCTACGCTTCAAATGTTAAAAAAGACCAGCAGAGACGAAGACAGCTGTCGGAGCCTGCCCCGGCACCTAATATGAACGATTTTACGCAATTATAGGAAATCTCAGTTCTAACTTTGACGAGCAGAGGGTACGAAAAGGTTTATAAAACTACGCGACCCGTCCCTTTTCCTCTCTGTCCCTAGCTGGGGGGTTTCTTGATAACTGAAATACGGCTTCTTTGAACGCCGAAGGAGACGCTTCACGGAAAGTCCTGGCTGGAGGGAGCGGGGAAAGGTGACCTAGGAGGTAGCATTCAGGACACTCGCTGTTATTCGCGTTAAGAACATATGCCAGGAGAGTGCTATGTATCCGAACAAAGTCGGCTGATGTTTCCAATTCGGAGAACTACAAATAGAAAAGGAATGAAAATGCTTGCCTTGAATCGCCCAACATCAGCAGCACGAGATGTCATTAGCATGCAAAAACCAGGAAAACAACATATGCACATGCTGGTAGATTACATGCTGACAGTAGGATAATGGAAGTGTTGAAACTGAAAAGCTATTCAGTCATTCACAAAATATGGAAAATAATACCTCTGCTTCGTATAGATGATGCTCACTCATATGCAAGTCATCAGTATACATGGCAAACAAAGGCGACCTTACGACGTGTTGCGACCCACCCGGGTCGACCACCCCCCGATCCCGAATTTCTAGGAAGCCCGCACTGCCGACCTACCCAACCCGGGTTGGGTCGACCCGTGTCAACCCGGGTCGACCAGGTCGGGTCGACCAGGCCGACCAAACCCAACCCAGCCGAGCTGGAGCAGGTTACCGGAGCCTGCGAAATCTGTGGTTCTCGCGTAGATGTCGCTTTTATCTCGTTTAACAAAAAGATACCCGGTAATATCGCCAAATATTGCCTCGCCCACCTTCCACCTGCGGAGCACTTGCTTTCTCTTTACTTCGAATTTGCTGAGAAGGCAACGGGAAATTCTTTGATTTCTTGAGTCGCCTTGCTGTTGGGTCGGGTCGGGTCTGTCAGAGGTCCACTGGAAATCCCCGATGATCCTAGGGAAGGGTTACAGGCACGTTGGCCTGGGGGGTTATGGGCGCACTCACCCGCTATGTAAACAAGCCCTTTTATCCCAATCAGGGCCTCTGATATCAGGGTAGAATACCCTGATTACCCTGATTTCAGGGTTGACATAACTGTCAAATGTTGTAGCCTATAGTGAGGTTTGTCTTAGGGGGTACAAAACTTAGGGTTAGCTATATGTACCCCAACCAACATCAATGCACCATCCATTCTTCATTCTGACATGGTATCAGTTAGGTTAGGATCCTGTGGGATCCCGTTCCTCCGTTCTCCGTTCGAGCCTCCCGAGCCTGATCCTAGCTCTCATTCGTCCCGGTTCCGTTGTTACCGCGCGTAGTGCCGCGCCTAGCGCCACTCCTAGCGTCGCGTCCTGCCCGCCCTTTCCCCCTCGTCGCGTCCCTTTCCCCCCGTCGCGTCGCGCCCTTTCCCCCCAGTCGAGTCGCGCCCTTTTCCCCCCGTCGCGTCGCGCTCTTTCCCCCCGTCGCGTCGCGCCCTTTCCCCCCGTCGCGTCGCGCCCTTTCCCCCCGTCCCGTCGCCCTTCCCCGTCCCGTCGCCTCTGCTCCGTCGCGTCGCCCTGCCCCGTCGCGTCGCCCTTCCCCGTCCCGTCGCCCTTCCCCGTCCCGTCGCCCTGCCCCGTCGCGTCGCCCTGCCCCGTCCCGTCGCCCTGCCCCGTCCCGTCGCCCTGCCCCGTCCCGTCGCCCTGCCCCGTCCCGTCGCCCTGCCCCGTCCCGTCGCCCTGCCCCGTCGCGTCGCCCTGCCCCGTCGCGTCGCCCTTCCCCGTCCCGTCGCCTCTGCTCCGTCGCGTCGCCCTGCCCCGTCGCGTCGCCCTGCCCCGTCGCATCGCGCCCGCCCTTTCCCCCGTCCCGTCGACCCTACGCCCTGGCCCGTCGCCCTAGCCCGTTCTTCCGCTGAACCCTAATTTGCCTCTTACCTCCTGCTGTTACTCGCCTGCTCGTTCGCGTTCGTTCTCGCTATGGCGACTCCGCGAGTTCTTCGTTTCGACGCTGACGGTAGACCTCTTGACTTTTCCGTCTGGCTTCTTCGCGCTCGCCGTCTGTTAGAGAGTCAAGTCCAGGGGGGCGAGACCCTCTGGTCGCACGCTACTGGTGACCTCCCCGAGCCCCCCGAGCCTGCCGCTTTAGGTCCTGCCCCTGACGATGCTGCTACGGCTCGCTTTGCCCGTCAGCGCGCTGACAGGACGGCTTGGACGTCGCGTGACGCTGCGGCCTGCATCGCACTCAGCAGCCTCCTCCCTGAGTCAGAGGAGGTCCACTTCACTCAGGTTCGCACCGCTGCTGCGTACCTCACTGCGATTAAGGCCCGCTACTCTACTCCCGCTACTGTCTCTCTTGGCCGTCTTTTCCTCCCGTTCCTGTTTCCTGATCTCGCCTCGTTTGAGCGCTCTGCTGACTTGATCGCTCACCTCCGCTCGCTCGACGCTAGTTACCGCGCTGCTTGCACTGAGGCACAGCTTGCACTGCTTCCTCCCCCTATGGCGATTACTATCTATTTCATCGCCACTAGCCTCCCTGACCGCCTTGCCTCCGTTCGCGACGCGCTTCTGCTGAAGCACCCTAGTGAGCTCACCGTCGATGTCCTTGAGTCTGCACTCAAGGACGTCGAGAGCAACCTTCGCTCGGTAGCCGCTGCCTCTGGTGCTGTGCCCCCCCCACTCTTCCACGGGTGCACAGTCCCGCAGTTACCCACCTTTACTGCCTCACTTGCCACTGCCGCTACTGACGCGACTGCAGCTGCTGTTACGACTGCGTCGCGGTCCCGCGGTAGGAGTGGCAAGAAAGGCGGTTCTGGTGGTGGTAGTGGAGGTGGAGGCGGAGGTAGTGGAGGTGGCGTTGCGCCTGGCGGCGGTGGAGGTTCAGGGCCTGGAGAGGCGCCTCGTGCAGTGACTGGTGACTCCACTGCGCCTGCTAGTGGTGGCGACGCCCGAGTTCGTCAGTCGCCTCCTGTACTTCCTGCCCCGGTTGGTGGAGCAGCGGCGTGGTACCAGGCTCAGCGTCAGCAGCAGCTTCTGCAGCACCAGCAGCCCCTCTCCTCCCAGCAGCCTCAGCAGCAGCAGCGGCAGCAGCTGGCTCCAGGGTCGGGGCTGCGTCAGACCCAGCGCGGTGCTGCTTACACTCCCTGCACCTACCAGGTTCTGACAGGCACTCGTCGTGGCCACCCTTGTGGCCGGTTTCACCCCCCTGGTCAGTGCTTTGCTCAGCTCACTGACACGGTTCGTTTGGTCTACGGGGTTGGTGCTCCTGCCCCTGACTGGCTGCCTCTTGTTCAGCGCTACGGCTCCGCTCTGTGGGGCATGTCTGCTGAGCAGTTAGTTGATCTGATTGGTACTCCCCATGCTATGTATGCTGTTGTTGACTCTAGTGTTTCTGACTCTGCTTACTCTGGTGTTGTTAGCTTAGGTGCTAGCCTTGCTCAGTTGCCTGTTGCTAGTGTAGGTTCTTGTGTAGACTCTAGTCCAGCGGCTACCTCAGAGGACGGTTCGCTGTCGTTCACGCTGGACTCTGGAGCCTCTCACTGCTTCTTTCGTGACAGCACGACACTTACGCCTCTTCCTGCGCCTGTTTCTGTGGCGCTGGCTGATCCCACTTCGGGACCAGTCACTGCGCGTCACACTACCACCTTGCCGTGTCCGGCTGCTCCTTCTGGGTCTCTCACTGGGTTTCACGTCCCCTCGTTCTCCCGGAACTTGGTGGGCGTGCGACCCCTCGTGAGTCAGCACGTGGGTGTGTGGTTTGAGCCTTCTGGAGAGACTGCGGTGTGTGTTGACGGGGACTCTTACCAGCCCCTCGCCACTTTTGCTGCTGAGCCGGGCTCCGGTCTCTACACTCTTCACACTGGCCCGCGCGCTCAGCAGCGACTGCAGCAGCAGCAGCAGCCGCAGCAGCAGCAGCAGCAGCAGCCGCTGCAGCAGCAGCGGCAGCAGCCGCAGCCACAGCGGCCGCCGTCGCAGCAGCCACTCCTCCCAGTTCCTGTCCCTCCCCCTAGTCTCCTCCCTGCGTCTCACCAGGTGGTTCCGTCCCCTCAGGTTGTCGCGTCCAGTCCAGTCGCTGCGTCTTGCTCCTGTCGGTCGCTTGCCCACCCCACCGTTCTGTGGCACCACCGGATGGGACACCCTTCTCTTCCACGTCTGCGTGCTATGTCTAGTCAGCGTCTAGTCTTAGGTCTCCCGCGTGTCTTGCCGTCGCTGCCGCCGTCTCTTGCACCACCGTGCGGTCCTTGCGTCGAGGGTAGGCTGCGTGCCACCCCTCACTCCTCCTCCCTTCGTCCGGCCACCGAGCCTTTTGAGACGCTGCACTTGGACGTCTGGGGCCCCTCTCCTCGCCCTGGCCCTGAGCGTGAGCGTTTCTTTTTGGTGGTCGTTGACGACTACTCCCGCTACACCACAGTGTTCCCCCTGGCGAGGAAGTCTGAGGTGACTTCTACGCTGATCAGGTGGTTGCTTACCACCCAGGACACTCGTGGTCGTCGTGTCAGCTGTCTCCACTCCGACCGCGGGGGCGAGTTTCGCTCCGGCATTCTCGCTGGATTCTGTCGC